GACAACATAGGCATCAATAATTCCTTCCTGAGGCAAGAACCAATGTTTGAATTCCTCATCAGAAAACATAGGCGACAAATCAAAGTTTTTCATATACTAAAAAAATAGTTTATAAATATTACAACCATAGTTCATTTTTATGTTAGTGTACTCTATTCTTACACTAGAAAGTAATTTTCGAGCTTGTGGCAAATCTTTTTCAGTGAGTTTGCGAAATCCAGGAGTGCGTGTTGAATCAGGAAGTTTATGTAACTTTAATGTCCGTTGCATAGTCATATTGCGACTTAAGTGAGAAAACTTAACATCTATTAACTTCTTTGGATTTAAAGAACGATGCCAATATCTAAACATTATAATTTCATTAATATGAACAAAACTTTTCACTGTTAATGTTTATTCATTATAAGTAATTATTCTTGAAGGGTTTATTTTATGACAACACATGGTTTTATTTTCATAACCAAAAATAAAATAATTAAATTTTATAGTAAAACTATTAAATATATTTGACATTGAAATGTTAATAACACAGTGATTTATGGTGAGCATTTTATGATATTACGAAAAACCTTATTTAATTACCTGCAGGTGCCTATAGGTTTAGGTAACACAATTCCAGCTGTATACACAGCTTGAAAAATACCCTTCTGGTTCACTCGTCTAGTTATTTCACGAATCAAAACTGGAGCCACTCTTTTACTACGTAATCTTTTATGAACGCAAAGGAAATTAATTTCAACCATTTTTTGAGACCTACATATAAAATAAACAACATTTCATTAAATTTTACAAAATAAAATAATAAATAATGTTTACTTGTTATAGACTTTAAGCAAAGCTGGGATGGCACTAATGAAACCAACTAATTTATTACTTTTAATGACACGCACTCCAACATGCCATTCTTTTAACCATCCAGGAGGTTGAAGAGCCCTGTTATTAATAAGACAATATACAAATTGAACAACATAATATATGGATGTTAAAAATACCATTTTAAAAAATGAGGTTGATAATCAAATCGAAACATGCTATCTTCATCTTCAACATAGTTTTCATTTAATAATGTGTACAGTTCTTTTAAGACAAATGGATCATCAAGATTAAGTGTATCCCATTGAAAACCATCAGGCAATGTAAACGGTTCATTTCTAATCTGATCTACTGTTTTATCCTCTTCAATTGGACCATCATTAAGTATTGTTTCAGCTATAAAAATTTAGTAAATTAAGAAATATTTAATGTTATTATTAGACATAATTTTAAAAAGTCAAGCCAAAAAGGGGATTTAATTTTCGTTAGAAAATAAAACTYTTTCTACCTACTATAATAAATTTTATTATTGCTAAGTCAGGTTAGTATTATTGTTTCTTCAATTCAGAGTAATAGGCTAAATAGTTTGGCAATGCTAAGCATCCATCACAATATCCATATAGATATAAAAAAAAAT